TGCTCCCTGTAAACGCTTCTCTGTGGCACTTCTCACTCTGTATTCCCTGTTTACACGTGTGATCCCCTTCCGGACTGTGAACCCTCCAGGGCATGGACTGTATCTTATGCATCTCTGTATTTCCGCGCCCAGCACGGTGCCTGGCACACAGGAGGCGCTCAATAAACGTTGAATGACTGAATGATTTAAGAGAAGCTCGGTCGCTCAGTGGGACTGTCTTTGTTGCTGGTGTTGTGCTGTCAGGGTTACAGGCCCAGCAGCTGGGAGGCACTGAGCTTCAGGGGCTCTGGCCAGCAGCCATGCCATGAATAGATCCTCCTGTGGGTGGCTCGTGTGCCTCTGGTCGGGGCTCACGGCTCCCTTGCCTCTGTGTCTTCTGAAGCTTGAGGTGCAGAGCCGTGCCCCGGCCACAGCACAGCAGTGGAGAGCACGTCCAGGGCGAGGCGTTGGCCTCCCTGACGAAGGGCCAGGTGCCACTGTCTGGAGATAGATTTTAACAACGTCGTTTTGTTCTCTTTGTATTTACCTTCGGGGTTAATAGTTTTGACAAGTGACACCACTTTTCAACTCAGGACAGTAATGAAAGGTATTTATTGAAATAAGGAAATAAGAAGCAAAGGTGACACTTGGCTATGGAGGAATTCTTTAAAAAAAAACAAACATATTTTTATTGATCTCAGAGAGGAAGAGAGAGGGAGATAGAAACATCAATGATGAGAGAGAAACGCTGATTGGCTGCCTCCTGCACACCCCCTACTGGGGATTCAGCCTGCAACCCGGCCTGTGCCTTTGACCAGAATTGAACCCAGGACCCTTCAGTCCTCAGGCTGACTCTCTATCCACTGAGCCAACCAGCTGGCGCCGTGGCGAGATTCTTGAAGGAGGAGCTGGAAGGGCTTAGCTCCACGTTTTCCTGTGGGCAGCTCCAGGCATAGTCTTCCTGCCCCTGGCCATCCCGCTGCCTCTCCGAGGCGCTCCTTGTCACCCCACGCTGGGGACCGTGGCACTGGCCCAGGCTGTCCTGGATCAGAGCTGCACCCGGAGGGGGGGGGGAAAGGGGCCTGGTCCTCACCTCCTGGAGAAGGGCAGTTGTCTGTGCTCTGTGACTGTCTCTGTGTCACTGCTGCCTGAATGGGCCAGCCCCAGGGCCAGGTCACTGGGTACCCAGCTTCGAGGGCCCTTGGTGATGGTTCTCTAATGCTGATGACACATCTTCCCAGGGCCTTGGCACCAATGCCTCTGTCCTGAATGATGGCACATGCTTCTCCCAGAGCTGGAACTGACCAGCAGCAACCAGGCTCCTTGCTCCTTGCTTGCAGGACAGCGGGTGTCACTGGGCTTTGAGACCTGAGCTCTAATCCCAGCTCTGTCACTCCACATCCAAGTGGCCGTGGATAAGTCACTTCCCTGACCTCCGCTTCCAGTGGAGGTGACAAGCATGAGTGAGTCAACCTTTTCAAGGACAAGTGACAAGTACTTAACAGAAGGGAGCTTAGACCAAAAGGGACATTTATCCGCTCATGAAATCTAGAAGAGTAGGATTATGTCATGGTGAGTTCAGGCATGAAGAGGAGCAGTGTGCTCAGCACTCAGATCTGCTTTCTTCTGCATTGGTAGGGTTCGGTCAGGCTTTCTCCCCGCAGCGGAAGGATATTCTCTAGAAGTCCCAGGCTGCTAGTTCCTACCAGTTAGCAGAACCCCCCATAGTCCCAGGGATGGAGTTTCATTCGCTCAGTTGGGGTCATGTGACCAACCCTGAATCAACCATAAGGATAAGGTATCCAGACCTCTCTGATTGGCCAACTAGGTCACATGACTATACTTGGAAGGACAGTGTCAGACCCAAGTGAAACAGTGCATTGAGAGCAGGGAAAGAGTCCCCCAAAGGACCAGGAGGTCTGATACCAGAAAGGATGCAAGGCAGCAAAATCACAACCCTTCACTAACAATCCGACTTACCATTAAGAGAGTCTGATGAGAAACGGCGTATGAAGTCACTTTGGAAAATGCTATATCAGATTTTTGATGCTATAACTAATTATAAAGAAGAAATGGCCGAAACTGGTTTGGCTCAGTGGATAGAGTGTCGGCCTGCGGACTGAAAGGTCCCGGGTTCGATTCCGGTCAAGGGCACGTACCTTGGTTGCGGGTACATCCCGGTAGGGGGTGTGCAAGAGGCAGCTGATCGATGATTCTCTCTCATCGATGTTTCTAACTCTCTGTCCCTCTCTCTTCCTCTCTGTAAAAAATCAATAAAATATATTTTTTTTTAAAAAAGGAAGAAGAAGAAGAAGAAATGGAGGTAGACATATGGCCCCCAAGGTGTTTGAAGAAAAATATAGAAAAAAAACTTTATGTGACTCACATATGAAAGCAATAGGGTTTGCTTTTTTTTTAGATTTTATTTAAAGCCTCTATTTTTTTTTGTTAACAACGTTGAGATATAATTTACATAACACAAAATTCACCCTTTTAATACGTGCACGATTCAGTGGTTCAAGTACAGGCAGTTTTCTGGCCGTGGTCGCCATTTCATCTTAGAACATTTTCATCTTCTCAGGCAGAAGCCCTGTGCCCATTTGATGTCACTCCCTGCCTCCATGCCTCCACCCCACCCCCAACTGATCTACTTTCTGCCTCTAGATTTATTCTGGACATGCCATATAAATAGAATTATACATATGTGGTCTTTTGTAACTGGTTTCTTTTACTCAATATAATTTCAAGGTTCATCCATGTTGTTGCATGTATCGGTACTTTATTCCTTCATGGCTGAATGATATCCCATTGGATTTATACACCACGTTTTGCTTATCCATTCATCAGCTGATGGACAGTTGGGTTGTTTTCGCCTTTTGACTATTATGAATAATGGTGCTGTGAACATCTGTGGCAAGTTTTTGCATAGACAGATGTTTTCAGTTCTCTTGGGTATATACAATACCTAGGAGTGGAACTGCTAAGTCATACAGTAACTCCATGTTTAACTTTTTGAGGAACTAATAAACTGCTTTCCGAAGCAACTGTGAGTTTTCCTAATGCCACTGATGGCTCACGTGCAGAGGGAGCTTATTCATAAATCACTTTGGTTTTAAAAATTAATGTGCCCTCGTTGAAACCAGTTTGGCTCAGTGGATAGAGCTAAAGGGTCCTAGGTTCGATTTCGGTCAAGGGCTTGTGCCTTGAAGAAACCAAGATGGCAGCACCTATATTTGCTGCCTCTCACAACCACATCAAAACCACAACTAAATGGCAGGACAACTACCACCCAGAACCTCGGGGAAGCTGGTCCCAAGGAAGTTCCACAACCAGAGGGGTGGAAAAGCTCATTGAGACCAGTAAGAGGTGCGGAGGCGTGGGAAGTGCTGGTACCTGGATATGCGGCTCTTTAAACTGGGAGGGAGATACAAGCTCCCATTTGCTCTGAACTCCAGTTCCGGGCGAGACTCTGGGGGACCCAGACACATACAGGGAGACACTGGACTGTCTGGCATCGAACAGGAATGCAGGGCGGCTTACTCTTAGAAGTGCTGGCATGTGAGGGGGGCGGGAAGGGGGGTGGAAGCCATTGCTGTTTGCTCTGCCCTGGTGATTCCCAGAGACCCGCCCCACCCAATTTACATCCCCACCCAAGCTGTGGGCACCAGCTTTTGCATATGAATGGCCTGTTCTTTTGCCTAAAATAAACTGCAGCTGGGTCAGAGAGCCCCCGAGATTCCAAAAGAAGGCCCACTGCCTGGCAGCCGCAGCTGCTTTGCTTCACACCTGAGCCTCGTCTGGGCACTTCCAAACTGCATATAAAGAGGAGGAATCTGCAGATCTCTGTAGCTCCTGCTGGGTGGCCCCAGACAGTGACTGACCTTGCACCTCCCTGGACACCAAGAGCCAGTGTACCCAGTGGTCAGAGTGAGACGATACTGGATTATAAATCTTCACATTCATAAGAGACACACTCAAGGGGCAGACTCAGTGAGCGCCAAAGCCCTACTGAAGCAAGTCCTGCCCCATAAGGGTGTCTCCTGTGCAACAGATCTTCCAGTGTAGACACAGCTGGTCATCACAGCCAATTGGCCTGGAGGTCAATTCCTCCCAGTGATACCAATAGCAATCAAGGCTTAACTACAACAAGGCTGTGCACACAGCCCAGAAAGGGGTGCAGCAAGGACATTCACCTCATGTGACTGGGGAGGCAACTGTAAGAATCTGAACAATAAAGACTTACTATTAAAAAAAATGGCATGTATATTGGTTTGTGGGCACATCTCTAGTAGGGGGTGTGCAGGAGGCAGCTGTTTTGATGTTT